ATCCAGCAAACCACAGAAAGTACCAAGAGATGAACTTTGGAAAAGGAATGCTCAAAAATGCCCACAGGGTCTGGAAGAGCAGGAGATCTGGGTCTAGGTGTCAAGAGCCTACTGCTGACAGAGGAACCCTTGGGAGGAACAAACCACACCCAGGCAAAGAGAGCTGAGGAGGAAAGAGGCTTGAAAAGAGGGAAAGGCATCAGCAGTGGAGAGTGGGAAATGGAAAAGAGAAATATACCGGCTTGGATAGCATCATGGAAGCCCAGGGTGGACAGAGTTTAAAGGGGAGCGCTGGAGAAGAGTCCTACAGGACAAGAGCTGAGGCTAGGTTATAAGACACATTAACTGACCATTCCTAAATGCGGTAAGGAACATGCTAAAGTGCAAAAGGAGTTGTGGTTAAAGGTGCCACTTGCTTTAGTCAGCTTTATTGCTGCTGTGACTGAAAGAACCCAACCAGAACAACTGTAGAGTAGGAAAAGTTTATTTGGGGGCTCACAGTTTCAGAGGTCTCCATCCACAGACAGTAGGCATCCATCCACTCATCATGGCAGAAGAGTGTGGCAGAGGGAAATAGCTCACACAATGATCAGAAAGCAGAGAGATGCCATTCACCAGATACAAATATATATATCCCAAATCCATGCCCCCAATTCCCACCTCCTCCAGCCACACCCTACCATGCAGTTAATCACTATCAGGGGTTAATCCCTGTTTGGGTTAAGACTCTCACAACCCAATCATTTCTTCTCTGAGCCTTCTTGATTGACACCTCACATCCACTACTCATCAGTTTGACCTAAGGTGAATTCTCTTCTGAGATAAGGGTTCTCGAGTGAGGTTCCAAGGATCAAGAGCACCTTTGGGATTTGTGTGGCTCAAATAATCCCACACACTTGGACTGTGGTCACTGTCTAGGAGTGTGGAGGAATGAATGGAAACAAATTCCAAGAACATTGGCTGAGAGGTGTATAGTCAGGCAGAGGCCTCTGGTAGAGGAAATGAGGGGAGGTAACGGGGTCCACATGTTATGTCAACGGTGGGATAACAAGTGATCACACTCAATGGTCAAGTACCATCACTGTTGAGCTATGGGTACAAAAATTTGAGGGTTGAAAATATTCTGTGACCATCAATACCCTACGTAGAATTTACAGTATAAATTATTGCCTATTTTGTCATTTGTAAATTGTATACCACAAATGCTTTATGTTAGTGAAATCTTCATCAGTCTATACTGTGTGTCTGTATACAGATGTGTGTATGTACATGCACACACATGGTTGCAAAATATTTATCAGCATGCTGCTGGCTACCACTTCTTAATGCTAGTCATTGCTCTAAAAGCTTCACCAAAGGAGAAATAGGTCCCTAAGTCAGCAAATAATGTCACTTTGAGTATCCCAGAACCACTCCCTTGTCAGTGACTTGGGGTGAGCCAACCAGATGCCACAAGTTACAAATCCTAAGATCAGCCTGGCTTCTTGGTCTCACCACTTCCTCTCTGATCCTTTGGAGTATCCTCAGAACCACTTTCCTTATTTATCTTCCATCTCCTCCCACTCTCACCTCTCCATAAGTCTACAGAGTGATCTTTCTCAAAATAAGTCTTGTCACCTTACTTTCAACGGCTCCCTCCTTTCCTGCAGTACCTACACCCGAGTGCCAACTCTAACGGCTGCCATCAGTACCAGCTGAAGGCAATCCTCCCCTGACATGTAGTTAGTGATTCTCTGAAGACACTCTGTCCTCTGGCTGTTAGAACCTCACCATGTTCTACACTCACTTGTTTCTAGTCACCCTCTCTCCTGGTCTTTAAGGTACTACATGACAAAGGAGTTTACTTCTCATTTCTTTATCCCCAACCCCCGCCCCCCAGGACACTGCCTAGCCCACAGGACATGATCAATAATTGTTTGACTGACTGAATGGACCAGAACTACGTGCATATAGTACTTCTTTCTAAAGACTGTGCTCTTCAAATTAAAAAAAAAAAAAATAACTAAGTTGGAATGAAATTATTATTTTGGAAAAAAATTTTTGGGATTTTTCCCAAGTCTATGAAAAGCAATACTCAGAGTTCTTTTATGAGTTGCTTGTGTGGTGACATGTTTTCTGTCAAAGAAATTTATAAGCCCATTTCCCCAGTGTGAGCCACACAGATTTTCTGTTGAGAAACCCTGTAATTCTATGTGTGTGGTTTCTCATCTATCCAAGTCTCCTAATTACAGAATATTATCACTCTAAAACAAACAAGCAAACAGCAAAAATATCTGCAACTGTACTTCCTGGACTAAAAGGAACTCTCTAGAGACTTTGATATTAGAGTCAGGAATATTTGGCTCATTAGGAATAACTGCATCTAACAATTTCAGTTTTGCAAAAAATGAAAGCAAAGAGAACTCAAAAGACATGCCCAAGGTCACAAGGCTGGGTCATTCACAGCAGGGAAGAACCAAAATCTGACTGACTGCTGATTTTACATCTGGACTATAATGAACCTTTGTTTTGTAGGGACTTCTTACTTAAAATGGTAAAATTAATCTTTAAAGAGCATTTAGTAAACAGATAAAAACATATTCTTAACTTTGCTCTCAACAGAATTCAAATCCCAAATTCTTAACCAGAGAGAGCTAGCTACTCCAGATTACTTAAAATTTTTAGAATTATGTTCCTAAGCCTTCTCCAAACACAAGTACTAATTGAAAAGTAAAACTTGGTTTTCCCTGAAAGCATCAGAGGCCAGGGACACTGCAGGAAGCCATGTAGCATCCTCCACATTCAGTGTCACCCAAGGACAACACAGTGTTCCCAAAATGCCCCAAGCAATGCAATTCTGCTTCTCACACATTCCTCCTGAATGTTTCACAAAAGGAAGTAAAACATTAACCCAGAACCCAGAACTTCTGCCATCAGGTCTCATAGGGGCATGTTGTAAGTCATGTAGTGACAGCATTTTCAGAATCCCATATTCAAAAATTCTTCTAAAAAGAGGATGAAATACCTTTTCATATAACCAACCTGATGATACAACAGAGGTGAAAGACTGATTTTGTGCAGAGCCGCAGTGCAACATTAAAAGTGACAGACACTGTCATGTTAAGCCCCTGCTTTACCCCTGAAGGATCATTTATCTGTGATGTGACAGCAAATACCTCCTGAGAACCCTGAGGCCAAGCCTCCCTAAGAGGGTACCTCAATGTCCTGCTGGGATAGGTAGAGAGGTTTTCTGGTCCTCCACCTATGATTCCACCTAGAAATTGAGGCTTGCTGCTTCTCTGAACTCCCTGTGGGTCATTACTTCATCCATAAATTATAAGTGTGGACCATTTAAATTTTAGCTGTCAAAATATTACAGAGTGGACTGGGGTTGTGGCTCAAACAGAGCGCTTGCCTAGCATGTACGAGGACTAGGGTTCGATCCTTGGCTCCCCTAGGCACCCCATAAAAAATAAATAAATAAAATTAAGATATTGTCCAACTACAATATATATATATAATGTATATAATATATATTATATACTTTTAGTTGTAAATGGGCACAGTACCTTTATTTTATTTATTTTTATGTGGTGCCAAGGATCGAACCCAGCGCTTCACAGGTACTAGGTGTGCGCTCCACTGCTGAGCCACAACCCCAGCGCTAAAAAATATTTTTTTAAAAAAAGATATTACAAAGTAACAAATCTTACATAATTCTTTGAATGTCCTAAAAATAGCTCTATATAATTTCTAGTGGATCTACATTGAGGCCTTTAGGAAAGCACTGGATAAATCTATCTTTAGCCTTTACGGTATTAAACCTCCACCAGAGCTCCCTTCAGCTTCCTTCCTGCAGAGAGAAGGAGTGAACTGTGTTCAGTGCAGGTCATTTTCACTGCAAGACAGTGTGGGCCTCCTTACATCCATCCTTCAGGATGGTGCAAAGGACTACACACAACCTTCTAGGGCCCAATCCACAGTGACCATCGGATTCTTGTACAAAGTCCACAGAGCACCTTGCACAAAGGGCAGGTTTGGTCAGCTGAGGCGGCGCATGCCTGAAATCCCAGTGGCTTGGGAGGCTAAGGCAGGAGGACTGTGAATTCAAAACCAGCCTCAGCAAAAGTGAAGCCCTAAGAAACTCAGTGAGATCTTGTCTCTAAATAAAATACAAAATAGGGCTGGGGATGTGGCTCAGTGGTCAAGTGCCCCTGAGTTTAATCCCCAGAACCCCCCACACACACAAAAAAAAGGGGCTAGGTTTGATGATTTAGAAGGAAGGGCCCTGGTTTAGGGATCAGGAGATCTAATTCTAATTCCAGTTTGTATTTGTCTAAACCTCAGTTTTCTTATCTGAGAAGAGGATTTAAAACTTCCTTACAGAATGATTGACAGGATTAATAAAGAACATTTTTATGACAACAGATGACACAGTAGCTGACACACAACGATTACACTGTAAATACCAGTTGACTCCTAAATCAGGTGTCAACTCATTAGCATCGTAATTTTTCAACCACATTGTTTTAAATGTGATCTTAATGTAATTATTGCTTCTGTCAAACAGGAACAGGCCCACATGTCTCCAGCACTCCTCACTGCCAGTTAAATGAGGAAGAGAGAACTCTCATTTCCCTGAAGACTCCTGTTTTCCTCAAAGCATCACTGCATGATGAGTAAAAGGGCTGGCCGGATGACACTGGAGTCTCATTCACAAAAAGAGGAAACAAAGGGTTTGATAAAAGGAGAAAAAGTTCATCTTCACATGTACTCCATCAATGCAGTGCACACCAATAAAGTACCCAGTGCTGCCCATAACAATCACTGCTCTGAGATGCCAACACCATACACTGCTCTTGGGGCCACATATTGACTTAACCCTTTGGATAACAATTTTCTTATATTTATGAAGAGCCTTAAAATGAAAGTTGTTGGGGAATAATCTTCCTTTGGAATTAAAACACTCAGTATGATTTATTCTTATGTAAAAATTAAACTAGGATTTGTGTGTGTGTGTGTGCGTGTGTGTGTGTGTGTATGTGTGTGTTGCTGGGGATTGAACCCAGGGACTTGTGCATGTAAGGCAAGCACTCTACCAACAGACAGCCCTAAACTACTAGGATATTTTAATGAAAAAAATGAACACAGACACAAATCAAAGTCTTAAAAATAAATAAATAAATAAACAAACTCGCTACTAAGGGTAATTTAGGAATGGCATCTGGACTCAGTCTGGGGTCTGGGGGTTCAGATGTTTGACACAGTTATCTAAGTGGGATTAAAGGAAAAGCCGGGGGGCTGTGGCTCAGTGGCAGAGTGCTCGTCTTGGAGGTGTGAGGCCCTGGGTTCGATCCTCAGCACCACATAATAATAAGTAAATAAAATAAAGGTATTGTGTCCAACTACAACTAAAAAATAAATATTAAAAAAAAAAAAGGAAAACCCAGGGATGGTGGCAAATGCCTGTGATCCCAGCTACTTGAAGGGGAAAAGCCCACCTTCACACAGAGATAACCACGGGTAGTGTTTTAATGTGTTTCGTGGGTATGACTTTATCTTATCAAGTCATATATATAAAAGGGCTGGGGAGGTAGTTCAGTGGTTAGCTCAGTGGTTAAGTGCTAGAGAGCTTGCATGTGCAAGGGCCTGGGTTCGATCCCCAACACCACAAAAAAAGAGTGGGAAGCAAACTAAAGGACAAAAGACAAAGAACTGCTTCATAAACTCCCTCTGAGTAGAACATTAAACAGGCATTAATTTAACAGGAAAGATTTAAACCAAGAAAGCAAGTTGAAACACATAGAGAATGACTTGGTATGAACAAAAACCAGGTGACTGTATCTGGCCACGTACCCTACCACCCACTAAACTAGGTGGATAATTGTTTCCACAGCTCACCTTGATTTCATACAGATAATTCCATGCGGGTTTCATACATATATATACATATATATGTATGTATATATATATTTTATATATATGTATGTAAATGTGTATGTCCATATGTACACATATACATATATTCACACTCACACATACACACACATAAGTATACACACGTTTCCGCAGAAAGAAGTCCTGCCACAATTTGGCTTTTTTGGGACAGTGAAATTGACAATGCAGTTTCTTACTCCACCAATCCCAGAAAATCAAGAGTGGTGCTTTAAAAAAATGCAATTCCAAAATCTGCTGCCTTTCTTCCTTTTAAAAAAAAAAGGTTAACAAAACTTTTCTTCCAAAGTCGTGAGACTTAATTCCATTTGATTGCACCTCTGCAAACGTGTAAAAAATTTTGAAGTAGACTAGAAAACGATGCCATGATACGGCTGCATGTCACTGTTCCAATGTCACCACCTCCACAGCCTGGCCGTCCATAGTGACTGTGCTGTCCGATATCCTGGTGGTTACAGGTGCCATGGCCACCTGCACTGGTCCGTTGCCCTGGGCGAGGCTGGTTACCACAGTCTGGTACATACTCACAGGGATCTGGACCAGGCCATTAGCATCTTGGACTCCAGTAAGTGCTCCAACGGCTGCTGCGGTTTCCCCAGACAGGACGATCTGTCCCCCGCCTTGTAAGGTGGCTTCAGCCAGGGTGGCGACAGCATGAGCGGCAGCTTCACTGTTGAGTGCCATGGTGACAGTAGCTCCCTGTTGCATTTCCTGTGAAGCTGCCACTGCGGCCTCTGCCAACGACGCTACCACCTGTGTTGCCTCTGATGCTTGCGTCGTCTGGATGGTCATTTCTCCTCCCTGCAATGTGGCCCAATTTTGTTCCACCTCTCCATCAGCCACATCAGAATAATTCACTTGGGCAACAGTGACTGTGGTTGGCAGTTCTGAAGCATCAGCCAATGTGGCCACTGTTGCCCCTGTACCAACCTGGATGAGTGAGACAGTGCCGTCAGGGTTGCTAAAGGTCTGCACTACAGTCTGTGATGGTACAAGATGGGCTATACTGTGTGTGGTAGTAGCCTGTGTTTGTTGATCTTCAAAAGCATATAAAAGATCCTCCCGCCCATGCGTTGAGCTACTGACAAACTCAGGCAGAGGTGACCATGCCCTTCACCAAAGCTGCCTCCCAGTGGCCGCCCAGAACTTCCCTGCTGGACTCACTTGAGGAAGGAGGTTCCAAGATGCAGTGGGATCCAGAAAGTACTTGCAAGGTCCAGGGATCTCACGGTCCGCCAGCTGAGACACTCCTCGGGCTGGCCCAGGTGCTGACCTTGCCACTGGCAGGTGAATGTCCTGAAGCTCCCACCAGGGACATAAGGGTTTTCCTCAGCTTCCCATCTCCTCCATATCCCAGGAATCCTCCTTGATCTTATGACCATTAAAGAGTTGCTTTGGTCTTAAGGTCAGTCCTGAATTGGTCATGTATATGAACTGAAGGTAACAGAAGTAATAAGGGTCTGAGGAGTGCGTGCTAAGCGTGCTTGTGGGTGTGCGCGTGCATGGTAGGGGAGAGAATGGGAAGAGGTGGAGGAGCTAGAAGGGAAAGGAGGAAGGGAGAAAGTCTTCATAGACCAGGGTACACCAATGGGAGCCATTTCTTTTCCTCTAGTTGTCATTTCTCTGCAATGAAAAGGGACACCTGGCTTAGGAAGGGTGGCCATCACAATGGGATGTGTCAGAAGAGAAAGGATCTTCATACCTGGATCTGGCCCTGCTCTGGGAGTGGTTCTAAGAGGCCCATTTTCCTAGCTGCATCCTAGTGGCCCAGGCCCTGTGTGGCCCTCCTGCTCACAAGTGTGGATTGGTCTGGGTGTTATTTGTCAGTTAAATTCTGTCCTTCCCTAGCTGCAAGCCCTGAGTCTCCTGTGGCTACATTCACCCGACTTTTTGACAGGCCAAATCCCTGCTCCTTAAGTATAGGGATAACTCTTCCTTCCCCCTCCCATGTCCCCCCATGTGTGATAGTGTATTTAATGTTTTTTTTTTTAAGCAACATTAAAAGATTCTTCATGTCTTGCTCAGCCTTTGAGAAAAGTTTCAGATTCTTGTATTTGCTTGTTTTATATAAAACTATCCAATGTTCTTTGTATGTTCTTTTCTGTACGTAATGGGTGGGAGGGAGGGAAGGGAAATTTACATATGAACAGTCCTAGTTCTAATTTGTTATTTTTTTAATTATTATTTTTTATCATCATTGTGAAGCTGTCCAGGGGCTTTAAAGTCCGTGTACCTTTGTGGTGAGATAACTTCCTAATAGTTTGAAAAATTGCCAAGAAGAAAAAAGCAAAATCCCAGTAGCAGAGCATGGATTCTGTGTTGTTTTCCATTCTGTCTATACTGCCTCATTCAATAAATAGTTAAAAATGTGGCAACAGGAAGTGGAACTGTTCATCTCTCTAGGAGCCCTTGACCTCTTGGGCAAAAGACTTGGCTTATGCTTCTCAAAAGGTGCTTGTACTCAGAGTCAGTGGTCTTTGTTCTACATGGCACTAGAGTTCCAGGAGGTGGTCAAGGCCAGATCAGGGGCTTCTGCCATCCCCAGCCCTAGCTCAGCTCCATTTCATTTAATGTGTTTTCTGTATAATGATGTTCTGGAAGAAAAATCTAGTTTGAAAAATACTAAAGATGGTTTGAAAGTCTTTTAAAAAAAAAAAGAGAATGACTTGGACTTGACAGAATAAAGTCACACTGAAGAAACACATTAAAACACTAACCGTGGTTATCTCTGTGTGAAGGTGGGCTTTCCGCCCTTCTTTATCTTCCTACTTTTTGTATGGCCACACATACCTCCCTTCCTCATTCACCTCCTGTACACCCACCTGCAGAGGCAGCACCTGCCGTGGAGAATGGGAACAGAGACAAGAAACCCCAAGCAACGCAGCACAGCTGCACAGAGGAGAGGAGCCAGGTGCTTCCATCAGAGGGCAGCCTCTCCCACCCAGAACTCTGCCTCCCACAGGTAAAAGGTGACTGCGTTTCATCAGATTTTCACATCCAGCACCTCTTGCGAATCCAACTCACCATCAACTATCCACTACATTCTCTGATGTCCTCTGGATTTTCAAACACAGCACTGGATACCTGTCCCCTCCCTTCTTTGCTGGACAACTCCTCCTTCTATGTCAACTGCCATATCAGACCTTGTCCCCAATAAGTGTGTTCTGATGGATATGATGGGGGAAGCAGAGATGCATGGGAAACCACCCCAACCACGTCAATGACTGTTAACAAGCACCACAGTTTGAATTCATGTGATGAAGCCCTGATCCCCAATGTGACTGTATTTGGAGAAGGGGCCTGGAAGGAGGTAACAAAGACTAAATGAGGCTATATGGGTAGGACCCATGACCCGATAGGGGTGGTGTCCTTAGAGTCACCAGGAATGCATGTGCACAGAGGAAAGGCCATGTAAGGACACATTGAAAAGGCAACTATCTACAAGCCAAGTGGGAGAGGGCCTCAAGGAGAAGCCAAACCTGCTGACACCTTGACCTTGGACTCCTAGCCACCACAACCTTCGGGGAAAATAACTGCTTGGGCTTGAGCCAGCCAGTCTGTGCTCTTTGTGGAGCATCAGAGTAACGCACCATGTCTGTAGCTTCCAAAGAGACAAACCTCACAGAAAGTAGCAGCCAAAAGTGCACTGTCTACTCCTGAAGGCTCAGAGAAAAGATAACAGAAAGCCCTGAGCATTTGTAGAAACGAAGGAATTGAAACACAGAGACCAAGAGCTTGATAGGAGGGGCCACATCTCAGAAGGACAGCAAAACAGAAAAAGAGAGGAACGAGATGGTAACCAGGCACGGCTCCTCCTAAACAGATTTTAAAATATGCTAGTAGTGTAAGCTCCTGGACACTATAAGTGGTTAATTTTAAGATAATTACGGATGGAGAGTAAGTTAATTAAGTCATTCGCCTTTATGCACTAGGGTATATGCAACTGCGCCTGGCTTGAGGAAAAAGAGTCACTATGGGATGCTGTGTTAATTAACTTGTACTTAGTTGCTAAACATAAAAAAAAAAAAAAAAAAAACACACACAAGGCTGAGTTAGTTGTGGGTTTTTCTTTCTTTTGTTCTTTTGTTTGTATCGAGGTGAATTAAACCCAGGGACTCTTGCATGCTAGGCAAGTGCTGTACCCCTAACCTTCATCCCCAGCACTTTTCATTTTTTATTTTGAGACAGGGTATCACTAAGTTTGCTAAGGCTGGCCTTAAAATTTGTGGTCCTCCTGTCTAAGCCTCCTGAGTGATTGGTAATACAGGTGTACCTCACCACACCCCGCTAATACAACACTTTTGGAAGGTGATTCTTTGCCAAAAAAAAAAACTAATCTACTTTTCCTTCTCATGATAAATGTATCATTATGCTCCACTGTCTACCCCACTATGTCTATGGTGTAGTGAATGTTAATCAAAATCACTTTTAGGATAGAGAAACTCACTGGCGGAGTACCAGCACAAGAATGGGTTGCTTTGCCACAGCTGGAAGTCGGAAATTGAAAGGTGGCGTCAAGATGGATAAATTCTGGAGACCTAAAGTACAATACTAGATCTGGTTTTTGCAAAACCATGCTATATACTTGAAATTGGCTAACACAGTAGATCTTACAGTGTTGTTGCCACTACTACCACCCAAGAAAAGAGTAACTGTAAGGTGATGGATCCACCAACTAGCCATGAGCATTTTGCCATGAGCATTTCACAATGTGTACATATCAAAACATCTTAAATAGATACAATTTCTACTTATCAATATGCCCCAATAAAGCTAGGGAGGGATAGAAGAAAAGATGGAGGGAGGAAGAGAAGAAAGAAGGAAAGGAAGGAGTAGGAAGGGAGAGAGACCAGAAGTGGGCAGTTGGGGAGGAAGGCTGGAGGAGGAGGGAGGAAGGCAAGGTAGCACCATTCCCCTGAAAAAAACATTGTGCATAATTTGATTTCCGGCTAGTCCACAAAATTTTCAAGACCTCCTAAATGCAAGACCCATCCACAAAAACCTACCTGACCTGCAACAGCAAGGCTGCTCACATGACCACCTGTGTACCCCAGCATGAAAGGGAAGAAGGGGGCTTTGCCTACTTTCTGCCTAATCCAGTTAAGAGGCAACCGTTTTCTTCTGCCTCTCCTCTTGGTTTTACTTCTTTCCCCAAATTCTAGTACCTCTTTCCCCAGATCCCATATGCCCTGCATCAAAGGTCTGCTAGGTTTCAAAATGACTAAGCCCTTTTTGCTCCAAGTGAAACTCCCATTCCCTAAACACCAAGATCCCAGTTTGGGGCTAGGAGAAAGCATGCTATTTGAAGTCAGTCACACTGAACTAAGAGACCTTTTTATTCACCACTACAGAAAGAGTAACATTTTAAAAGAAGATATTTTTTTTTCTTTTTTAAAACATTCTTTGCCGTTTAATTGATAAATAATTTTATACATTGTGATATATATGTTTATATAAATACATATAAACATGTTTGTATATAATTTTATACAGTGTGATTCTATGATATACATGCATGTTGTAGAATGTCTAAATCAGGCTAATAAACTGTCACCTCGCATACTTACCAATTCTTTATGGTGAGTGCATTTAAAACCTACTCTTCCAAAAGCAATTTTGAAAAACATTTTATTAACTGCAGTCAACACACTCGCTGAGCAGCAGATCACTAGAACTTACTCCTCCTGACACTTTGTACCTTTTGACTCACCTCTTCCCCCCAACAATAAAACCCCAATCAGCAGCATGAAGACACACAGAATCCCTGACTCAACCTCTTGAAACCAAAGTCATCTTCTTCCATTTCTCAACCTGCAGGTTACAGAAAAGCAATACGTTCCAGGCCATCCGTAAACTTAAAAACTGGGGGTTTGCTTGCTTAATTTCATCATTTAAAATCTCACTACCAAGCAAATTTATTCTCTTGCAAACATGAAAATGCTCTGTAAGTATAAATTTTAGACCTATTTTGGGTAATAAACTATTGGCATCACCAGACTCTATCCTAAGCCAGGGTCAATCAAATTATCATCACAACGGCATTTGCATTGCTTTCTAGTTGGAAAAACAAAAACAAGCTTTGATATCACACATATTTACCCTGGTGTTGGGGCTTGTGCTCTCACCCTCTATCTGCAACTCCCTCAAGCTGTAATAGCAGTTCTGAGTCCTGTGGAAGTGACATGCAGAGGCAATGGCAGTCTCTCACAACTAGAGACAGGGTAAAACCCAAAACACTCCATTTTCTCTACCTGCACAGTTGTATTTCCTTTTTACCTTTCAGAAGGAAAAGTCAAGATTTATCTTTAACTGGTAACA